AAATGACTCTGTGGCTTTCCCTTTTCATCTCTGCATAATGAATCTGCTGAATAGCAACACAGTATGGTTGGTATTTCTTTCAGTCCTTGCCTTTATGCTATTTGGAACAATTTGCCATTTTTCTTTCCTTCAATCCCTCTTAGTATTTGTGGTAAATATTTCCAACCTCACTCAATAAATGAGTAAAGATATTAAGCATCATTTCTCAAGTTTATAAAGTAAGCATTATACTGGAACTTAATTCTAAGTCTCACCTCTGAAATCTCCAGTATGATATACCTGGTTTAATGCTATTATGTCTGATCATTTTTTCATAGATGTAAATTTTATCTTCTTCCTGAAATGCCTCCTGACCTAAGACAGAATTCTCATCTTGCATTTGTTTTTATTCTTAACAAGCTCTTAGCACAATGTGAGTCACCATGATAGATGCTCAGTAAATGTTAACGTGCTGACTGATTCTGTTCTGATTTCCAGCCTGAGATCCAACCATAAGAAATTTGAGAACATGGAAAACCTAAAAGGGGCAAAGAATGTCATTGCAAAGTTTACTCTTTTTGTCTCATATTTTTCAAATGTGTTGCAACATAATGATATGTTCTTTTGCTGTCACAATTTTAATAGAAAGCATTTTTTTAAACAAGGACATGCACATTTTTTTGCTCAAATAACAAATACAGAAACTGAATAACAGGTGAATAACAAAATACTCTGTAGAAAGTAGGGCTTCAGATTTTCACAAAAACTCGAGAGGTACAACTTATTAAAATTTACATATCTCATTTTATAATCTCTTCAATTATTTGAAATAGCTCTCTAAAGTCTTCCAAAAGCATGCAAATATCAAATTAATTTCAATAAAGGAAGATGAATAAACTTTTCAAAGGCAAATTAATTTCTAAGCAAAATAACAAGACCTCTTAATAAAAAGAAATCAAGAGCAGAAATTAAATATCTAAGTTTGGCAACATAAATTGCATAAAAAAAATCAATGAAAGAATATAAACACAAGGGCACTTCAAAAAGTTTGTGGAAACACAGAATAGAAAGATAATGGAAATCTTTCCATGAGCATTTTATTAGTTTGTTTGTTTAAATTTTTCCTTTTTTTCCCTAAGACTAAGATCATAGAAAATATGTTCTCTGACTACAAAACAGAAGAAAATTTAGAAAACTCACAAACGTGTGGAAATTAAACAACACTCTCCTAGATAAATACTGGGTAAAAAGAAAAATCACAGAGAAACTAGAGAGTTCTTTGAGATAAAGATGAAAGTGCAACATATCAAAATTTATAGGGCATAGGGCTCATGCAGTGCTTAGAAGAAAATTTACACTTGTAAGCATCTATATTAAGAATAAGAAAAATCTCAAATCAGTAATATAGACTTCTACCTTAAGAAAATAGGAAAAGTAGAGCAAACTAAACCAAAAGCAAATATAAGTAGGAAGTAAAGATTACAACAGAAATATATGAAATAGGGAATTAAAAACAATAGAGAAAATCAACAAAACCAAAAGTTGATTCTTTAAAAAGATCGACAAGATTTGCAAACCTGATATCAGAAATAAAGTAGGGGCATTATTGCATTGTCATTATGGCTTTTTGTGGTGGTAAGATTTAATTTCTTTCTCATTTGCATTTTTGTTCTACTGGTGAGTTTTATTTTTTCTTGTGTATTTGTTGTAGTGATTATTGTTTTTCAGATTCAGATGCAGGACTTTCCTGAGGATTTCTTATAGGGCTGGTTGCATGGTGGTGAACTCCTGCAGCTTTTATTTGTCTGGAAAATACAAACTATTTTCCTCTCATTTCTGAAGGATAGCCTTGCTGGGCATAGTATTCTAGGCTGGCAGTATTTTTCTTTTAGTATTTTGAATATATCATCCCACT